GAGAGTGTGCAAGGCTGGAGGGAGGCTCATTCCAACGAGTCCCTTCAAGGCATGGGCATTCTGTGTGGGAAATTTGGGCCAAATCTACTGTTGGTAGGATTCAGAACTCAAGGAAGAGCGTGCAGGGCTGGAGGGAGGCTCATTCCAGTGAGTCCCTTCAAGGCATGGGCATTTTGTGTGGGAAGTTTGGCCCAATTCTATCGTTCATAGGATTCGGAACACAAGGGAGAGCGTGCAGGGCTGGAGGGAGGCTCATTCCAGTGAGTCCCTTAAAGGCATGGGCATTCTGTGTTGGAAGTTTGACCCAATTCCACCATTGGTAGGATTCGGAAGGCAACGGAGAGCGTGCAAGGCTGGAGGGAGGCTCAATCCAGTGAGTCCCTTCAAGGCATGGCCATTCTGTGTGGGAAGTTTGGCCCAATTCTATCGTTCATAGGATTCAGAACACAAGGGAGAGTGTGCAAGGCTGGAGGGAGGCTCGTTCCAGCGAGTCCCTTCAAGGCATGGGCATTCTGTGTGGGAAGTTTGGCCCAGTTCTATCGTTGGTGAGGTTCAGAAGCCAAGGGAGAGCGTGCAAGGCTGGAGGGAGGCTCATTCCAGCTAGTCCCTTCAAGGCATACATCTGGCATATCAGATATTTACAGGACGATTCATAACAGCAGCTTAATTACTTGTGATGTAGCAACAAAAATAATGTGATAGTTGGGGGTCACCACAACATGAGGAACTGTATTCTGCTTTGTTGTCAGATACTCCCAGCTTGACTATAGCAAGCAAAATGCTTTACTACAGCAATGCTTTTGCTTCCCCTTAGTGGACGATTGGCTTATTACAAGTCATCCAAACTTATGCTAGACATCAAACTCTCTTTAGGAAATCCATAAAACAGTGTTTCTTAACCTTCCTAATGCCGTGACCCCTTAATACAGTTCCTTATGTTGTGGTGACCCCCCAACCATAACATTATTTTCATTGCCACGTCAGAACTGTTGTTTTGCTCCTGTTATGAATCGTCATGTAAATATCTGGTATGCAGGATGGATTTTCATTCACTGGACCAAATTTGGCACAAATACCCCATACGCCCACATTTCAATATTGGAGGGATTGATTTTGTCATTTGGGAGTTGTAGTTGCTGGGATTTATAGTTCACCTCCAATCATTCTGAGACCCACCAACGATGGAATTGAACCATGCTTGGCACACAGACCTTCCATGACCTCCCTCCAGCATCGCACACTCTCCCTCGCCCACACATGCGCATTCTGAACTCCACCAACAATGGAATTGAACCAAACTTGGGACACAGAACCCCCACAACTGACAGAAAATACTGGAAGGTTTTGGTGGGCATTGACCTTGAGTTTTGGAATCGTAGTTCACCTACATCCAGAGAGCACTGTGGACTCAAACAATGATGGATCTGGACCAAACTTGGCACGGATATTCAGTATGCCCAAATGCAAATGTTAGTGGAGTTTGGGGGAAATAGACATTTAGGAGTTGTAGTTGCTGGGATTTATAGTTCACCTCCAATCAATGAGCATTCTTAATCCTACCAATGGTAGAATTGGGCCAAACATCCCGCACAGGGACTCTCTGGTGTGGGCCTCCCTCCAGCCTCACACGCTCTCCCTGACCTGCATGTGCGCACCATGCTGCCATGGGCCGAGCACACCTGCTCTCCCTCCCTGCTTGGAGTCTCAGAAACAGCCCTCCCCTTGGCTGAGAGGCTGACCAATCACAGCAGAGGATGGCTATGCCTTGAAGGGACATGGTGGCATGAGCTTCCCTCCAGCCTTGCACGCTCTCCCTCGCCCACACTGCTTCCCATCCTGCCATGTGCTGAGCATGCCTGCTCTCCCCTCCCTGTTTGGAGTCTCAGAAACAACCCTCCCCTTGACTGAGAGGCCAGCCAATCACAGCAGAGGATGGCTATGCCTTGAAGGGACATCCCGGCACGAGCTTCCCTCCAGCCTCGCACGCTCTCTCTCACCCACACTGCGTACCATGCTGCCATGTGCTTAGCATGCCTGCTCTCCCCTCCCTGTTTGGAGTCTCAGAAACAACCCTCCCCTTAGCTGAGAGGCTGGCCAATCACAGTGGAGGATAGCTATGCCTTGAAGGGACATGCTGGCACGAGCTTCCCTTCAGCCTCTCACGCTCTCCCTCGCCCACACTGCGTGCCATGCTGCCATGTGCTGAGCATGCCTGCTCTCCCCTCCCTGTTTGGAGTCTCAGAAACAGCTCTCCCCTTGTCTGAGAGGCTGGCCAATCACAGTGGAGGAGGGAGGGCTTTTGGTGGAAAGATTCGCTGAGCATGCCTGCTCTCCCCACCCTGTCTGGAGTCTCAGAAACAGCCCTCCCCTTGGCTGAGAAGCCGGCCAATCAGCAGAGGAGGGCTATGCCTTGATGGGACATGCTGGCACGAGCTTCCTTCTAGCCTCACACGCTCTCCCTTGCCCACACTGCGTACCATGCTGTCATGTGCTGAGCACACTTACTCTCCCTCCCGCTTGGAGTCTCAGACACAGCCCTCCCCTTGGCTGAGAGGCTGGCCAATCACAGCGGAGGAGGGAGGGCTTTTGGTGGGAGAATTCGCCGAGCACGCCTGCTCTTCCCTCCCCTGTTTGGAGTCTCAGAAAAAACCCTCCCCTTGGGTGAGAACTCGGCCAATCACAGCAGAAGATGGCTATGCCTTGAAGGGACATGCTTGCACGAGCTTTCCTCCAGCCTCGCACACTCTCCCTCGCCCACACTGCGTACCATGCTGCCATGTGCTGAGCATGCCTGCTCTCCCCTCCTCTTGGAGTCTCAGAAACAGCCCTCCCCTTGGCTGAGAGGCTGGCCAATCACAGCAGAGGATGGCTATGCCTTGAAGGGACATCCCGGCACGAGCTTCCCTCCAGCCTCGCACGCTCTCTCTCACCCACACTGCGTACCATGCTGCCATGTGCTTAGCATGCCTGCTCTCCCCTCCCTGTTTGGAGTCTCAGAAACAGCCCTCCCCTTGGCTGAGAGGCTGGCCAATCACAGCAGAAGATGGCTATGCCTTGAAGGCACGAGCTTCCCTCCAGCCTCGCACGCTCTCCCTTGTCCACACTGCGTACCATGCTGTCATGTGCTGAGCATGCCTGCTCTCCCCTCCCTGCTTCTGAAATTCCCTCTTGACCCCCCCCCCCCAGGTGTCCTGACCCCCAGGTTGAGAAACGCTGCTCTAGTGCGTCACAAAACTACATATCCCAGGAGGTAGCCACAGCTGTGAAAGTCCTGTCAATGCATTGCAATTGTTTAGGGCCAGAGACAGAGCTGTGTTACATTTGTCACTCAAAAAAGGAATTGCTTCCTTCCCTTTGGAGTGTAACTGTTACTTTTAAAGTTACTTTTAACTATGGGACTGTGTTTTGTTCCATGTAGCACGTTCTGTGTTTCTTAAATAGTAACTAAAGAACATCATTGTAGCTCCTGCTTCCTAAAACCAACATTGTTTCTCTCTCCCTCTTTCTCCAGAGCAATTCCTTCCTTTCCTCCCTTTGTCCCCCCCTTTCTTTCCTCTCCCTCCTTTCCTTCCTTCCTTCTTTTCTTCCCTCCTTTCTTTTCTCCTTTGCAGTTGCTTCCTTACCTGACTCCTTCCTTTTATCAACATAGGACTCTCTTTTTTCCCCCTCCTTTCTTTCTGTCCTGCTTTCCTTCCTTCTCCTTTTCTTCATAGCAATTCCTTACTTCCCACCCTCCCTTTCCTTCTTCCCTCCTTCCATTCTTCCTTCCTTCCTTACCCTCTCCCTTTTCCTTCTTCTTTTCTCCATAGTCCTTCCTTCCTTACTCCCCCTTCCTTTCCCTTCCTTCCCCTTTCCTCCTTCCCTCTTTCTTCTTTTCTCCATAGTCTGCTCTTCCTTCCTTCCTTCCTTCCTTCCTTCCTTCCTTCCTTCCTTCTTCTTCCCTCATTCTTCTTTTCGCCATAGTTCATCTGTCCTTCCTTGCTTCCACCTTTCCTTCTTTTCTGCCCTTCTTCCTTCTTTCCTTCCACCCTTCTTTCCTTCCTTCTCTACTTCCTTCCTTCTCTCCCTCCCTCCCTTTCACTCTTCCTTTCCTACCTCCTCCCTTCTTTCCTTGCACCCTTCTTTCTTCCTTCTCTTCTTCATTCCCTCTCTCCCTCCTCCCTTCCTTTCACCCTTCCTTCCTTCTCTACCTCCCTCCCTTCTTGCCACCCTTCCTTCCTCCTCTCCTCCTTTCCCTCCATTCTCCCTTCTTCTCTCCTTCCTTCTTTCTCTCCCTCCCTCCCTTTCTTCCTTTGACCCTTCCTTCCTTCATTCTCTCCCTCCCTCCCTCACTTCTTGCCACCCTTCCTTCCTCCTCTCTTTCCTCCCTCCCTCCCTTCTCTCCCCCCTTCCTTCTTGTTACCTTTCCTTCCTCCTCTCCTTCTTTCCCTCCATTCTCCCTTCTTCTCTCCTTCCTTCCTTCCTTCCTTCTCTCCCTCCCTCCCTTCCTTCCTTCTTGCCACCCTTCTTTCCTCCTCTTCTTCTTTCCCTCAATTCTCCCTTCTCCTTCCTTTCTTCCCTTTTGTCTTTCCTTATCTCTTCCCTCCCTTCCCTCAATTCCCTCCCTCCCTTCCATCTTTCCCTCCCTCCCTCCCTCCCTCCCTTCCTTCCTTCCTTCCCTTCCCTTCCTCCCTTCCTTCCTTCCTTCCTTCTTCTCTCTCTCCTTCATCCCTTCCTCCCTCCCTTTCTTCCTTTCCACCTTTCCTTCTTCATTCTCTCCCTCCCTCCCTCCCTTCCTTCTTGCCACCCTCCCTTCCTTCTCTCCTTCATTCCTCCTTCTTTCCCTCCTTCCTTCCTACCACCTTTCCTTCCTTCCTTCTTTCCCTCCCTCCTTCCCTTCTTTCCATGGTGCCCTTGCCTGTCGGTGCCCTTGGTCGGCCACTAGGGGGCGGGCTTCCTCTTTTTTTTCCGGGCTGAGCGCTGTCATTTCCCTTCTTCCTGCTCCTCCTCCTCCTCCTCTTCTTCCTCCCCTTCCTCCTCCTCCTCCTCCTCCTCCTGCTCGGCATTGTCGGCGAGGGGCTCCCAGGGAGCGGAGCCTTGGGCCTGGCTCTCCCTCCCTCCTTCCCCCGGCCCCCGGGTCCCCCCTTTTTCCTTTCCTCTCCTATCTGCTCCCCCTCCCTTCCCTCCTTCCCCTCTTCCTCCTCCTCCTTCCTTCCTTCCTTCCTTCTTCCATGGCGGAGACAAAAATCATCTACCACATCGACGAGGAGGAGACCCCTTACCTGGTGAAGCTTCCTGTCTCCCCGGAAAAAGTCACCCTGGCCGATTTCAAAAATGTCCTCAGCAACCGGCCCGTCCACAGCTACAAATTCTTCTTCAAGTCCATGGACCAGGATTTTGGGTGAGTCAGGGGGGCTGGGGAGGGAGGGAGGGAGGGAGGAGAAGGGGCCCTTTTTGTCCTTGGCATCCCCACCTGACCCTCCCTTTGCTGATGGTGGGACCTTGGATGGAGGTACCTTGGATGGTGGGACCTTGGATGGTAGGACCTTGGATGGAGGGATCTTGGATGGCTTGGATGGAGGGACCTTGGATGGTGGGACCTTGTATGGTGGGACCTTGGATGGTGGGACCTTGTATGGTGGGACCTTGGATGGAGGGATCTTGGGTGGTGGGACATTGTATGGTGGGACCCTGGGTGGAGGGACCTTGGATGGAGGGACTTTGGGTGGTGGGACCTTAGATGGAGGGACCCTGGATGGCGGGAACCTGGATGGTGGGACCTTGGATGGCGGGACCTTGCATGGAGCAGACCTTGTATGGTGGGACCTTGGATGGTGGGATAGTGGGACCTTGGATGGAGGTACCTTGGATGGTGGGACCTTGAATGGTGGGACCTTGGAGGGTGGGACATTGGATGGAGGTACCTTGGATGGAGGTCCCTTGAATGGTGGGACCTTGGATGGAGGTACCTTGGATGGTGGGACCTTGGATGGTGGGACCTTGGATGGTCTCTCTTAGGCTTTGGCATGAGCTTGGATTCTATTCTGGAGGAGAAAGAGAGAACTAGAATGCAGTTCTAGGTCATGGAATCAAAAGCCAGGCCTAGGGGGACTTCCATGTTGTTGTTATTGTTCCACGATGGGCAGAGAACAGAGCACTAGTGTGTCCCTCTTGGGTGGAGATAGGCATTGTTTGCTTCTGGATGTTAAATGTTCTCAATTTGGTGTGGTTGAACTAAAATTCCCAGAATCGCGAGTCAATCTCACCCCCAAACACTGTCAGTATGCACGGTTGACCATGTTGGGGGTGTGTGCTGAGTTTGGTCCAGATCTGTCACAGGTTGGGTTCAGTGCTCTCTGGATAAGGGTGAACTACAGCTCTCATATCAGAGAGCAATCACCCGCAAACCCTGACAATAATCTCAGTTCACCATCTTGGGTCTGTGAGCCAGGTTTGGTCCCGTTCCATCGTCAGCTGGATACAAGGCTCCCTGGATAAGGGTGAACTACAATTCCCAGATCAGAGGGCAATCACCTCCAAACACTGCCAGTATGCACAGTTGGCCATGTTGGGTCTGTGTGCCAAGTTTTGTCCCAATTTGTTGTTGGCTGGATGCAGGGCTCTTTGGATGCGGATGAACTACAACTCCCTGTGAACTACAACTCCCAGAATCATGGGTCAGTCCTCCCCCAACCAGGCCTGTATGCACAGTTGGCCATATTGGGTGTGTGTGCCAAGTTTGGTCCAGATCTGTTGTTGACTCGGTTCAGAGCTCTCTGGATAAGGGTGAACTACAACTCCCAGATCAGAGGGCAATCACCTCCAAACACTGCCAGTATGCACAGTTGGCCATGTTGGGTCTGTGTGTCAATCTTTGTCCCAATTCGTCATTGGTTGGATGCCGGGCTCTCTGGATGCAGATGAACTACAACTCCCTGTGAACGACAACTCCCAGAATCATGGGTCAGTCCTCCCCAAACCAGGCCTGTATACACAGTTGGCCATGTTGCGTGTGTGTACCAAGTTTGGTCCAGATCTGTTGTTGACTTGGTTCAGTGCTCTCTGCATAAGGGTGAACTACAACTCCCAGATTAGAGGGCAACCACCCCAAAACACTGCCAGTATGCACAGTTGACCGTGTTGGGTGTGTGTGTGTGCCAAGTTTGGTCCAGATCCGTTGCAGGTTGGGCTCAGTGCTCTCTGGATAAGGGTGAACTACAATTCCTAGAATCGTGGGTCAATCTTCCTGACATTTTTCCCACATCTATGGCAAGCATCCTCACAGGTTGTGAGGTCACACTGGTGTGTCCCTCTTGGCTGGAGGTGCTCCAAGTGGAAGCTAGGCCCGCTTCCTGGCAGAAGGGTAAAGCCTGGAAGAGTCTGGTGGGCATTGATTTTGTCATTTGGCAGTTGTAGTTGCTGGGATTTATAGTTCACCTACAATCTGAACGCCCACCAAGGATAGAATTGGGCAAGACTTCCCACATAGAACCCCCATGCCTTGAAGGGACTTACTGGTGCAAGCCTCCCTCCAGCCTCACACATTCTCCCTTGCCTGCACATGGGTATTGACCTAGAGTTTGGGAGTTGTAGTTCACCTACCTCCAGAGAGCATTGGATTCAAACAATGATGGATCTGGCACGGATACTCAATATTCCCAAATTTGAACATTGGTGGAGTGTTGGGAAAATAGACCTTGACATTTGGGAGTTGTAGTTGCTGGGATTTATAGTTCACCTGCAGTCAAAGAGCACTCTGCGATGTAAGACTCAGACACTAATAGATCTGGACCAAACTTAGCACGAATACTCAATATTCCCAAATGTGAACACTGGTAGAGTTTGGAAAAAATAGACCTTGACATTTGGAAGTTGTAGTTGCTGGGATTTATAGTTCACCTGCAATCAAAGAGCACTCAGTGATGTAAGACTCAAACACTGATAGATCTGGACCAAACTTGGCAGGAATACTCAATATTCCCAAATGCAAACACTGGTGGAGTTTGGGGAAAATAGACCTTGACATTTGGAAGTTGTAGTTGCTGGAATTTATAGTTCACCTGCAATCAAATAGTACTTTGTGATGTAAGACTCAAACACTGATAGATCTGGACCAAACTTAGCACGAATACTCAATATTCCCAAATGCGAACACTGGTGGAGTTTGGGGAAAATAGACCTTGACATTTGGGAGTTGTAGTTGCTGGGATTTATAGTTCACCTGCAATCAAAGAGTACTTTGTGATGTAAGACTCAAACACTGATAGATCTGGACCAAACTTAGCACGAATACTCAATATTCCCAAATGTGAACACTGGTGGAGTTTGGGGAAAATAGACCTTGACATTTGGGAGTTGTAGTTGCTGGGATTTATAGTTCACCTGCAATCAAAGAGCACTCTGCGATGTAAGACTCAAACACTGATAGATCTGGACCAAACTTGGCACGAATACTCAATATTCCCAAATGCAAACACTGGTGGAGTTTGGGGAAAATAGACCTTGACATTTGGGAGTTGTAGTTGCTGGGATTTATAGTTCACCTACTATCAAAGAGGACTCTGGGATATTGCATTTTTCTCCCCATCCCTCCTTCAACCCTTGAGGTGTATCCCACTGTATGATTCCCATCGAACGCCTCCCATCCTGAAGCTAAATAGGAATGCCTTGCGTTGGGTGGTGCCCCAGGGGCGTGGGTGAAAGTCTCCGTCGGAGAGCACATTAGCATACAATGGCATTGCACACAATTTTCCTATTTCTGGGCATAGCGTTGCGCATTCGTTGGCCTTAGCGTATAATTATCTCATGGAATGTACCGCAAGATGCAGTTATGTTGGCCATGGGCTTAGTAAAGTGCTCGAGTGCCTTTTGGTCCAGCTCCATCATCCCTGGAAGTCACAGTTCCTCTGGTTGTGGGTGAACTACAACTCCCAGAAAGGAAGGTCAGTTCCCACCAAACCCTTCCAGTAATCAAATTTTGGCCTATTAGGTATGTGTGCCAAGTTTGGTCCAGATCCATCTGTGTTTGGGTTCACATTACTCTAAATCCATCCAGAGTTACGGACGTTGTTGGATCAAGTCAATTTTCCATTGTCCACAATGAACAAGGTTCTGGGTGAACTACAACTCCCATCATGTCAGGTTTACCCCGAGCAACTCCATCAGTACTTAAAGTTTGTTACGTTGGGCAAGTTTGATCTAGGTGCGTCGTTGGTGCGAGTTCAGTGTACTCTCTGGTTACAGGGTAAACTACAACTCCCACTATGGTGAGTCAGTCCCCGCAAACTCCTCCAGTAGGTTGAGTTAGTCATGAGGGTTTTGTATGCCAAGTTTGGTCCAGCTCCATCATCGGTGGAGGTCACATTTTCTCTGGTTGTGGGTGAACTACAACTCTCAGAAAGGAAGGTTTATTCCCCCCAACAACCCCCCCCCAACTACAACTCCCACTATGGTGAGTCAGTCCCCTCAAACCCCTTCAGTAGGTTGAGTTAGTCATGAGGGATCTGCATGCCAAGTTTGGTCCAGCTCCATCATCGCTGGAGGTCATAGTTTCTCTGGTTGTGGGTGAACTACAACTCCCAGAAAGGAAGGTCAGTCCCCGCCAAACCCCTCCAGTAATCAAATTTTGGTGTATCGAGTATGTGTGCCAAGTTTGGTCCAGATCCATCTGTGTTTGGGTTCACAGTACTCTCTAGATATAGGAGAACTCAAACGCCCCCAAATTCCATGCCAATGGAGAGAGTCAGAAACAATGGGATGTCTGAGGTGGAGGAAACACATACAATCTAGGATGAAATTGTCCCCGTATGAAAGCCTTCACTTGTGTGGTGGACAGTATGGTGTTTGGGGAGAACATTGGCTGGGCACTTGGACATGTTTATGGTACTCACTATAAACTGTAATGTCACTGGAGGGATGTCTGTGGTGGAGGAAACACATAAAATCTAGAATGGAATTATCCCTGTATGAAAGCCTTCACTTGGGTGGTGGGCAATATGGTGTTGGTAGAGGACATTGGCAAGGCTCTTGGACATGTTTACAGTACTCATTATAACCTGCAATATCATTAGAGGGAGGGATGTCTGTGGTGGAGGAAATACATAAAATCTAGAATCGAATTATCCCCATATGAAAGCCTTCACTTAGATGGTGGTATTGTAGAGTTTGGGGAGGACATAAGCAGGGCTTTTGGACATGTTTACGGTACTCACTATAACTTGCAATGTCACTTGAGGGAGGGATGTCCGTGGTGGAGGAAACACATAAAATCTAGGATGGAATTATCTCTGTATGAAAGTCTTCACTTGGGTGGTGGGCAGTATGGTGTTTGTGGAGGACATCGTCAGGGCTCTTGAACATGTGTATGGTACTCACTATAACCTGCAATGTCATTGGAGGGAG